AATACCCATTAAATCTGCAAACGGTATGAATTGTACCAGATACTGTACACTTGATTCAAAGAGAAGCTGTTTTTTCCAAACATGTGAAAAGAGGGAGAGGTTAACCAAGTGCATGTATTTAAAGAGTCACCTAGTTCTGTTTTTTAAATGTTGACTTTGATATGTTAGTTTATTGTAATGTATATCCTTGCTGTTAACTCAGATACTGAACATTCTAATACATATTATATAAATTCACTTACATTTGATGTGTTAAACTTTTCCCAAAATCTGACTTTCTTTTGTCGTCTTACTTTAATGAAGATGTTTTGAATCGGTATCACTGTAAAATAAAATGTTCACAGTCATCTAAAGTCTGAGATTCATTTTTTAGAGTTTGATCTTTGGAGAATGTTTTTTAAGAAATGGTCTTTGGTGCATAAATAAGCACAGTTGGGGAAACTAGAAAAAGGTTCTGAGTTTGTCACTTAGTCAATAGTTGTGTGTTGTATATCTGAAGGCATTCATTTGACTATTACACTGCAAATTGACTTTCAAGCTTCGATGAATCTCAAGCTTTGGACTCAGGATAACTGGAAGCCTCCCACTTTTCCTTATCCGTTCTGCAGCCCAGCTCTAGTTCGTTATCGACATTTAGCTTCTTAATATGGAGGCTCAGTATGTTACTCAGAGTGAGATGAAGAAGTGAGGAAAATGGTCAGTTATGAGTAAATAAAACAGCTATGCAAGGCATCCCAAGAGAGTAACTAAAATATGTGAAGAATCATGGTATGAGATATTAAATTGGTGCATTTAGGCAAGTTTATTGATATAGCACTTTTCAACACAAGGCAATTCAAAGTGCTTTACAAAAAATGAAAGACATTAAGAACATGGCATTTAAAATCAGATATTAAAAAGAAAAGCTAATAAAATAAACATTAAAAGAAAAAATACATGGATAAAAGTTACAGTGCAGTTTAAGATGTGAATAGTTCAATTAAAAGCAGCGACATTTAGATTACAAAGTTAAAACACAGCATGATTTACATGAACTCCCAACCAACAAGCAGGATCACAGTAACCCATGAGGATTACGTAATGTTTCTTAGGTAGTGATCAAGGTTTCCCCCACAGGAAATAGGGCTGATAAAACAGACTCCATTGAGTTTATTCTTCAGAGGAGGCCTGAACAGGAAGGCCTGAACACTGCTGCACAGAGAGGTTGTTATTGTTGTTTTTCTGACTTTCATGAACGTCAATTGAACAGAGCCATTAGTGTAAGTTACTTTGTTTTCAGGCCTCTTTAAGTATAGTTGGTTTGGTTGATTCATTGTTTGCAAAGGCGAGATCTAAATGTAAATTACCTTAATGTTTGACAGCACACATCTGAAATAACCTGGGTAGGTAATCTAATTTAAATAAACTAGATTAGAGATTCAAACAAATCTGCAATTAGCACATAAATATATACTATTTCCATTTCCTTTCAGCTTTACAGTATGTCAATCATTTTACAATGTTTACAAGAGTTAGATCTTCACTCCTTAACATTCAAGTACACTTATTTGATACTATTCTTTTGTCCTCTCTTTAGTACATTTCTACATATAATATCATAGTGTTCTATTGTCTGTGTTACCATTAGCACTGATGTAAAGCCTTTAGTTCTTTGTGTGTCCTGTGCTGTTGAGACTGAACGGTTATTCATTGTAATTGCTAGTGTTGTCTACATCAGTGGTTCCCAGTGTTTTATGTTTTGAAAATAATTACACATACTTCCGTCGCAGACTGAAAACAAAAGAAAGGCTATCTGTTACAAAGGTTCCTTTCATTTGAACATAATGCAGTTTCAGGATTCTACATGTAAGTTGCTTTGGATAAAAGCATTAGCTAAATGCAATGCAATGTAAAACTGTACTGAGGCTAATTAAGCGTTTTCTTAACCATTCCATTTTGTCTGTCTGCTCTTAATTGTTTCTCTCCTCTCTTTTTCTTCTTCTATTTCTGCAGAGCTCTGATGGAAAACTATACATTCAACAGCCTCACTCTTCGGATGGAGGGGTTAAGGGTCACGGAAACTAACAAGTACCCTATCTTCTTATTCCTGCTCTTGGCTTACATGTTCATCCTCATTGCCAACGTGGGCATTTTGATACTGATATGGAAAGAGAGGAGCCTCCAGCAGCCGATGTACCTCCTCTTCTGTAACCTGTCGGTGAACGACGTTATGGGAAACTCTCTCCTTGTTCCCCGGGTGCTCTCAGACATCATGGTGCCGCCGTCTGAACGCTTCATTCACTACTATGAATGTCTGGTACAAGCGTTCACCACACACATGTTTGGCACCAACGCTCACACTGTGCTCATGGCTATGGCTTTTGACAGATATGTGGCCATCTGTCATCCATTGCGCTATGCGAGCATAATGACCGGCACAATGGTGATAAAGCTGACCGTTTCTGCCTGGGGAGTGGCTTTCGTTTTAGTGGCCATTCTGCTCGGTATGACCATACGGCTGAACCGGTGTCGGACTTTAATCACTAACCCTTACTGCGATAATGCCTCCATCTTCAAACTATCCTGTGAGAATGTGTATGCCAATAACGTGTACGGCCTCACCTTTACTGTAGTCCTGCTCACGGCCTCTATCGGCTGTGTAGTCCTCACCTATTTCAAAATCACAGCAGCTTGTTTGACCAGTAAGAGCAAGTCTTTGAACACCAAAGCCTTGAAGACCTGCAGCACTCATCTGTGCCTGTATCTCATGATGCTTGTCAGTGGGTTTGTCCTGATCATCCTCCATCGCTTCCCCCAGTACCCAGAGTACAGGAAGATAGTGGCCATTCTGTTTAACGTTGTTCCTGGCAGCCTGAACCCCCTCATCTACGGGCTGCAGTCCAAAGAAATACACAAGTGTTTGTCAAATATATTCCATTTTAAAAGAGTTAAACCCTCCATTTGATTAAAGTCATTTAAGTGAATATCTGATTATATTCTTCAATAATTGACCCGAACAATACCCATTAAATCTGCAAACGGTATGAATTGTACCAGATACTGTACACTTGATTCAAAGAGAAGCTGTTTTTTCCAAACATGTGAAAAGAGGGAGAGGTTAACCAAGTGCATGTATTTAAAGAGTCACCTAGTTCTGTTTTTTAAATGTTGACTTTGATATGTTAGTTTATTGTAATGTATATCCTTGCTGTTAACTCAGATACTGAACATTCTAATACATATTATATAAATTCACTTACATTTGATGTGTTAAACTTTTCCCAAAATCTGACTTTCTTTTGTCGTCTTACTTTAATGAAGATGTTTTGAATCGGTATCACTGTAAAATAAAATGTTCACAGTCATCTAAAGTCTGAGATTCATTTTTTAGAGTTTGATCTTTGGAGAATGTTTTTTAAGAAATGGTCTTTGGTGCATAAATAAGCACAGTTGGGGAAACTAGAAAAAGGTTCTGAGTTTGTCACTTAGTCAATAGTTGTGTGTTGTACATCTGAAGGCATTCATTTGACTATTACACTGCAAATTGACTTTCAAGCTTCGATGAATCTCAAGCTTTGGACTCAGGATAACTGGAAGCCTCCCACTTTTCCTTATCCGTTCTGCAGCCCAGCTCTAGTTCGTTATCGACATTTAGCTTCTTAATATGGAGGCTCAGTATGTTACTCAGAGTGAGATGAAGAAGTGAGGAAAATGGTCAGTTATGAGTAAATAAAACAGCTATGCAAGGCATCCCAAGAGAGTGACTAAAATATGTGAAGAATCATGGTATGAGATATTCAATTGGTGCATTTAGGCAAGGCAAGTTTATTGATATAGCACTTTTCAACACAAGGCAATTCAAAGTGCTTTACAAAAATGAAAGACATTAAGAAAATGGCATTTAAAATCAGTCATTAAAAAGAAAAGCTAATAAAATAAACATTAAAAGAAAAAATACATGGATCAAAGTTACAGTGCAGTCTAAGATGTGAATAGTTCAATTAAAAGCAGCGACATTTAGATTACAAAGTTAAAACACAGCATGATTTACATGAACTCCCAACCAACAAGCAGGATCACAGTAACCCATGAGGATTACGTAATGTTTCTTAGGTAGTGATCAAGGTTTCCCCCACAGGAAATAGGGCTGATAAAACAGACTCCATTGAGTTTATCCTTCAGAGGAGGCCTGAACAGGAAGGCCTGAACACTGCTGCACAGAGAGGTTGTTATTGTTGTTTTTCTGACTTTCATGAACGTCAATTGAACAGAGCCATTAGTGTAAGTTACTTTGTTTTCAGGCCTCTTTAAGTATAGTTGGTTTGGTTGATTCATTGTTTGCAAAGGCGAGATCTAAATGTAAATTACCTTAATGTTTGACAGCACACATCTGAAATAACCTGGGTAGGTAATCTAATTTAAATAAACTAGATTAGAGATTCAAACAAATCTGCAATTAGCACATAAATATATACTATTTCCATTTCCTTTCAGCTTTACAGTATGTCAATCATTTTACAATGTTTACAAGAGTTAGATCTTCACTCCTTAACATTCAAGTACACTTATTTGATACTATTCTTTTGTCCTCTCTTTAGTACATTTCTACATATAATATCATAGTGTTCTATTGTCTGTGTTACCATTAGCACTGATGTAAAGCCTTTAGTTCTTTGTGTGTCCTGTGCTGTTGAGACTGAACGGTTATTCATTGTAATTGCTAGTGTTGTCTACATCAGTGGTTCCCAGTGTTTTATGTTTTGAAAATAATTACACATACTTCCGTCGCAGACTGAAAACAAAAGAAAGGCTATCTGTTACAAAGGTTCATTTCATTTGAACATAATGCAGTTTCAGGATTCTACATGTAAGTTGCTTTGGATAAAAGCATTAGCTAAATGCAATGCAATGTAAAACTGTACTGAGGCTAATTAAGCGTTTTCTTAACCATTCCATTTTGTCTGTCTGCTCTTAATTGTTTCTCTCCTCTCTTTTTCTTCTTCTATTTCTGCAGAGCTCTGATGGAAAACTATACATTCAACAGCCTCACTCTTCGGATGGAGGGGTTAAGGGTCACGGAAACTAACAAGTACCCTATCTTCTTATTCCTGCTCTTGGCTTACATGTTCATCCTCATTGCCAACGTGGGCATTTTGATACTGATATGGAAAGAGAGGAGCCTCCAGCAGCCGATGTACCTCCTCTTCTGTAACCTGTCGGTGAACGACGTTATGGGAAACTCTCTCCTTGTTCCCCGGGTGCTCTCAGACATCATGGTGCCGCCGTCTGAACGCTTCATTCACTACTATGAATGTCTGGTACAAGCGTTCACCACACACATGTTTGGCACCAACGCTCACACTGTGCTCATGGCTATGGCTTTTGACAGATATGTGGCCATCTGTCATCCATTGCGCTATGCGAGCATAATGACCGGCACAATGGTGATAAAGCTGACCGTTTCTGCCTGGGGAGTGGCTTTCGTTTTAGTGGCCATTCTGCTCGGTATGACCATACGGCTGAACCGGTGTCGGACTTTAATCACTAACCCTTACTGCGATAATGCCTCCATCTTCAAACTATCCTGTGAGAATGTGTATGCCAATAACGTGTACGGCCTCACCTTTACTGTAGTCCTGCTCACGGCCTCTATCGGCTGTGTAGTCCTCACCTATTTCAAAATCACAGCAGCTTGTTTGACCAGTAAGAGCAAGTCTTTGAACACCAAAGCCTTGAAGACCTGCAGCACTCATCTGTGCCTGTATCTCATGATGCTTGTCAGTGGGTTTCTCCCCATCATCCTCCATCGCTTCCCCCAGTACCCAGAGTACAGGAAGATAGCGGCCATTCTGTTTCACGCTGTCCCTGGCAGCCTGAACCCCCTCATCTACGGGCTGCAGTCCAAAGAAATACACAAGTGTTTGTCAAATATATTCCATCTAAAAAAATTGAAACCGTGAATTTAATTCCGGATGTTTTTTCTAAACAGGAGTGATCTTCCCTTTGATGTTCGATAAAGACCATAATAGTAAACGTTAACTGTTAAAACTGCAGAAAGACGGATCGTTACCGTGCAGTTTGTCAAAGAGTAACATTTAAAAAGGAAGAAAGCCAATGACCAATGTTATGCACTCCAACAGTCATCTGGTTTGTGTCGATATGATCAAATGGAAGTTTGTTTGCTTTTATATATTGCCCTTACTTTGAAACTTTTAAAATGAATAATGTAAAATAAAGTTGATTGTGTATAAATTCCCATATATGCTGTTCATCTTTTGAAAATGTGTCTTTCACAAACAAGCTTTGGTTGGTAAAATTGTAAAATAAAATGTATAAAATCATCTGGTTGAGATTCCTATTTTAGAGTTGAATCTTTATTCCAACAAATTGCACACTACACTAATACATACAGTATGTTACATAACTTTGACCCCATACATAATAATAATAATAATTTGTGTTATTTATAGAAAGATATTTCAGAAACAGATTCAGAATTTGATTCATTGCAAGGTAGGTTTTCACAAACAAGGAATCCACATTGGAGTATGATGGCACAACTCTTCATACAGGTAGGCGGCAGTAGTTCGTATGCGTCACTCACCGTAAGGGCTTCACGGAGTGGACGCGTACACTTCGCACGAGTTAAAACGGGGCCCCGCGCGTGCGAGCAGACGACTGGACCCTTTCCCTTGGGGGGTGTCCACGAGGCGCTAAAAATAAGCGGGTGTGCTCGTTGCACTCGGGGCGCCCGGCAGATTGCCGTGGGGAAAAAGCGGGTCTGTGGCCCTTCTGGGGCAGAGCTGCATTTTTCCAAAGTCCCAACCAGACTCACGCTGTTCGCGCCAAGTCCACAGGGAGGCACAAGGCATCCACTTCGAAATACACCATGTCCATCAGTAGGGTTTGAAGCGGACGACCACTTCCAATACGCCGCCAGGATCCCGGGTATTTGAGGCGAACGTTTGGACAATGTCAAAATGTTTGAAGTCTTGCATAGGCTCCATATGGGTACAGGGACACATTGGGTCCTGGGGAATTCACCCACAAAGTGTGGGGGCCATGCCACGTTGACCCCATTAACACACTTGGGAGATATAAGTCCATGTCCACTTCACATACATTACTTAAATGCTGATCTCTGGTATGTTAAGTGAATTAAATACACAAGACGATGCAGAAATGTATTTAAAGTGCACATCCAAATAAAATACTTAACTGCAGGATCTCGGGTACACAAGACGATGCAGTTATGTATTTGAAGTGGACAGGGCCATATTTCAACATTGCTACCGGCCAGCAAGCTGATACTTGAACTGTGTCATGCCTCCAGCCCATGGATTGAGTGTGTCGATCTTGGAGATGATTGGAGAAACTTTAAGTTTTTGACCTTTTCAAACTCATCTCTGAAGAAAAACAGGTCAAAATTAAAGTGGCTCCGATTTGCATGACAGTTGGTGTACTGAGGAAAGTGGCCTCACAGATAACTAATTCAAAGTGACGTGCATGTAGCTCTTGGCATCTTTGCATTATGACCTTCTACATTTCAAATACCACAGGTTGTGTAGTGATGTATTTGAGGAACTATCGACATCGCATACCTGAGGTCGTGCAGTAAAGTATTTGACGTGCATAGTACGTCAAATATATAACTGCAGTTTAGTGGTGGTGACGTGAAGCTTTTTACTACTAAAGTGGTGTTAATATGTGGAGATTATCCTGCTGAACTAAATGTGTAAAGTTTGGACTCCAAGCAATTAAACTAAAGAGTTTATGGTCTTTAATTAGGACATTAAAAACATTTGAAGCATCCACATGTTACTTTGGCAACACGGACAATTAGCCCGTGTTTATGATGCTTTTCTTTCCAGGTGTTTTCTTTTAACCACATAGGTAACTTAAAATTGGTCCCTTTGGTATTCTTTTGCTGTCCTGTGTACAATTTATGTTTTTAATGAAAGGGATGTTGTGTCACTTTGTGTAATTAAGGTTGGTTGTTTTCACAATTATCTCTGTTATCATCAGAAAAAGCTCAGTTGCTTTTGAAAAAGGAAAAAACGTGGATGTGGATAAAAGTCTGCTGACTGAACCCGACTGAGAAGAGCCACGTTGGATGTTTAGCTCTCAGGTAATATCTCCATGCTTTTAAAAAACAGAGTTAAAGAATTGGTGTTTTGTTAAAGCTTTCTGATGCTTTGAATACTATTTATTTGCTCTTAATTTTAACCTGGTGAAGTCACGTTCAAAACTTGTATTGTATTAGTATTTGTAATCATTGTGCACTTGTTGTCTCTTGGCAGTATTAGTGTCTGCGTCCACCGCCTGTTGTTCTGTCTGCTGAGGAGAGATGGAGCTTTTCCTGTTTGATATTTCTCCTGAAAGCCCCAGAGGTCTGTAAGAGTTTCTGTGCTTTGCATTCATTAAGCTGATCAATGTTATCGCTTAGAAGACAATGGGTGAGCAATTATGGCACAATTACAAAGGAGTGACCAAATAGATTGTTTGTGTATTTGTATGTCAAAGCTTGAAGGCATTAACTCACAATTTATGATTCAAAGTGAAATCAGGATGTTTAGTTGTTTAAATCTACATGACTTTAGAGCAAACAAAAATTACTTTTTCTCATATTCAGATTTATTAAAAACACGATTAATTCTGTACGACGTTGTCAACCTTTCAGTTTTTTACGTGTGGAACTTACGCTTATATATACTGCTAATCTATTCACCCACATTCTTTACAAACATTGAATTAATATGTTGAGGTTGTAGAAATCTGCAGTGATGGACATTAGTACGTTTATTTACTCAAGTAGAAATACCTCAAGTTGTCTTTGAGTTCCTGCTACTTCCTATACGTTTACTTCACCACAATTCAGAGGGAAATATTGTACTTTATACTCAGCCTTATTTATTCGATAACTTTAGTTACTTTAAAGATTCTGGACAATAGCACTAAAAAGTAGTCACTAATAACTGATAATGTATTGTCCTATAAATGTGTTTTAAAATGGGCCATTGTGCAGAATGAGTACTTTTACTTTTAGTACTTTAAATATATTTTGATGGTAATACTTTCGTACTTTAAAGACTTTTGATTGCAGGGCTTTATATACATTGTGTTCTTAGTACTTTAACTACTAACTGGGTACTTGTTCATCAGAGACAGGGGGTTCATACCAGGCATTTGGAGCATTTTAAATGTGTATTTTTTTACTATTATAAGTGTTTTCATTGTCTTAGTGTTTTTATATTTAGTGCACCGTAACCTATTTGTAAATCTGCATGAATAACAATGATATACATGCTATAAACCAGTAATCACTAACGCCTCTCTTCCCTGTCTCCCTCCATCCCCAGAGTCTTTCCTGCCGTTGTCGACCAATCACAGGTCGGGGTCTGTTAACGTCACCTGGGAGCCCGATGTCACTTTCTTCATCCAGGGCCTCGCCAGCCTGGGAGAGAAAAAGATGATCCTGTTTGTGATCCTGCTTCTGGGTTACATTATCATCCTGGGAGGAAACAGCATGATCATCTTTGTGGTACAAAACTAAATCTCTTTATCGGTCAGGGTCTGTTGTTCAGTCATGCCGTTACATGTAAACGTCTGCTCTGCCTTGATCTGACATAAAGCGGTAAAAACTGTGAATAAAGCAGTAACTAATGGTGAAAATGGTAAAAATGTAGCTTAAACCTGTTTAAAAATAACATTTATCACAGCTTCTGGCAGGCTGATGCAAGATGATACGGCACATTTGGGTTCCTGTTTACACAGTACAGTATCTCTGCCTCAGTCTGACCTGAAGTCTTGGTTTCGTAAGAACTGCCATTTTTCTCCTGCAGGCGTTGACAGATTCGAAGCTCAGCTCTCCGATGTACTTCTTCCTCTCCAACCTCTCCTTTGTGGACATCGTCTACACCACCACCACCATCCCCAACATGCTGTCCGGCCTCCTGACACACGTTCAAACCATTTCGGTCCCCGGCTGCTTCCTGCAGATGTATTTCTTCATCCAGTTAGCCGTTACCGGCCGTGCCATCCTGACCGTCATGGCGTACGACCGCTACGTAGCCATCTGCAACCCTCTGCGCTACACGGCCATCATGACGCGACCCGTGAGGCTAATCCTCATCACGGGAGCCTGGAGCTTCGGCGCCTTCTGCACGCTGCCGTCCGCCGTTATGGGGTGGCAGCGGTCTTACTGCGGCCCGTACGTGGTGAGACACAGCTGGTGTGACCCGTCGTCCGTACGCCGGCTGGTGTGCGGTGACACGTCGGTGGATAACATCGTGTCGCTTTCCTTTGCCATGGTGTCGCTCCTGACCACAGGAGTCCTCATCCTCACCTCCTACGTCCTGATCGGTGTTTCCATGTCCAGGATGGGCGTGGCTCAGAGGCTGAAGGCTGTTGGGACGTGTGCCGCCCATCTGATCGTGGTGTCCATCTCTTACGGTTCGGCCTCATTTGTATACATCTCCTACCGGGTGGGGAACTTTTCACCAGAGGTAGGTGATGACACCTCAGTGTTTCCGTTAAACATTAAAAAAAAGTAGAATTCCGTCAAATTCAAATCTCTCCGGTCATATTTCATTTTATTTTTATCTTTGATTTCATCTTTAACTTTATTAATCTCTAATCTGTGTGAATCTGTGTTGTCCTGTTTTTCATTCTTACCCTGTTGCTGTTAAACTACTGAACTTCCCCACGGAGATTAATGAAGGTTCATCTTATCTTATTTTATCTTATCTTAAAATAATTTGCCATAAGCACAATTTAAAGTGTACTAAAAGTAGTCTAAACAGAGGAGTCAGCACTAGCCCGGCTTAATATAAAATAAATCGACCTGCCTTTGATGATACCTTCCTTTATATAGCTTTCTTCATCACTTTTGTGTTCACAAATAACGATCCATCACCAAACTGTGCTGTCGTGAAGGGAAACTTCATTTTTGGCAGATGACATTTGGTTTTAAATGTTGATTTAAAGTAATCCTGGAAATAAATTCAGTTTTGTTGAATAGGAAATCAATAATCCATAATCAACCTGCCGCGATAGTGCGTAGAAATGCTTTCTCTCCTTGTGTGATAATGTGTTTAATAAAACATGACATCTGATGTTGATCCAGGTGCGTATCATTGTGTCCGTGCTGTACTCCGCCCTGACTCCGTTCCTGAACCCGATGATCTACAGTCTGAGGAACAAGGAGCTGCAAGACTCCATCCGGAGGTCTCTGAGCAGCTTCAGACCTGCTGCCGTGTCCCCCAGAAAGGACGTCTCCACAGTGTCCTGACAGGAAGTCTATCCAAAACAAACATGAGTAGTACCCGAGCGAAGTAGAAATACCTCAAATTGTTTTTGAGTTCCTGCTGCTACCTACACTTTTACTTCACCACAATTCAGAGGGAAATGTTGATTCAGGACAATAGCACTAAAAAGGAATCACTAATAATTGATTATGCATTGTTCAATATATGTGTTTTAAAATGGGCCATTGTGCAGAATAAGTACTTTTACTTTTAGTACTTTAAATACATTTTGATGTGAATACTTTTGTACTTCTTCTCAAGAACTGAGTACTTGTTCATCAGAGACAGGGGTTCATATTTAGTGCATGGCCGATATGATTTCTATGTTTTCTCGCCCCCAACTCGTCAACCACGCATCAAACTATGACTCTCTAGTTTTGGACGCACAGTTTTTCCTGTATAGCCGTTGTTAATGGAGTAGTGCTGGATTCTGGAATGAGTCGAACAACCAGGGTAAAAGTTGTCTTGAATAAAAAAAACAGTGTTTCGATATTGTTTTTTTAAATCAGTGTGTAGTAATGGCTCCTTGTCCTGTTTCATATCTCTGGGAGTTCCAATAAAGAGTCAAATCACCTCTAAACGTTTCAAATGGTGAATCTAAGTATGTAGTGTCTCTACTTTGACATGTCTCCATGCTTTAATGTTCAAAAAGCTCTTTACTTTTCTCATACTGCCTGTGCTGCACAGGGTTTTTAGTCTTTGCAGACCATGCACACAAACCAATAGAACACACTACAGGAGAGGGAACACCACAGCAAGCAGAATAGGGCCTCTTTAAGCATCACTTACAACCTGTGAGACTGATGGCTATGTACAAAATAATTGACATATTTGAACCACTCTTTATTCAAACGAAAGTATGCAACAAAACGAAATACAGTATAATAAATCTCCCATCTGAATATAAAGTTACAACATTCCTTATAAAGCTTACATTGGAAATGTAAAATATATTAAACTGAGGATTTACAGTACTTAATAATAGTGAAAAATATCTTAATGTGTCTAGCAAGAAGATAAAATATATATACACTGAACAAAAATATAAACGCAACACTTTTGTTTTTGCTCCCATGTTTCATGAGATGAACTCAAAGATCTAAAATATTTTCTATAAACACAAATAACCATTTCTCTCAAATATTGTTCACAAATCTAAAAAAATCTGTGACAGTGAGCACTTCTCCTTTGCCGAGATAATCCATCCCACCTCACAGGTGTGGCATATCAAGATGCTGATTAGACAGCATGATTATTGCACAGGTGTGCCTTAGGCTGGCCACAATAAAAGGCCACTCTGAAACGTGCATTTTTGCTTTATTGGGGGGGTCTGGGGGGGTCCGCAAACCAGTCAGTATCTGGTGTGAGAGGTAGGATTAGGGTTAGGGTTAGGGGTAGGGGTAGGGTTAGGGTTAGGGGTAGGGGTAGGGTAATGTTGTGAATCGAGTGGCCTGTGTTCGTCGTCCATAACATATTTCTGCCCATACCATAACCCCACCACCACCATGGGCCACTCGATTCACAACATTACCCTACCCCTAACCCTACCCCTAACCCTACCCCTACCCCTACCCCTACCCCTACCCCTCACACCAGATACTGACTGGTTTTCAGACCCCCCCAGACCCCCCCAATAAAGCAAAACTGTACATTTCAGAGTGGCCTTTTATTGTGGCCAGCCTAAGGCACACCTGTGCAATAATCATGCTGTCTGTGAGGTGGGATGGATTATCTCGGCAAAGGAGAAGTGCTCACTATCACAGATTTTGAAAAGTGTTGCGTTTATATTTTTGTTCAGTATAAGTAATGCAATTAATTAATTTGCAAATGATTAATTTACTCAATGGTACAGTGTCCTTGGATGTCATGAAAGGCGTCCTTAAATAAAATGTATTATTATTATTATGTATTAGTCCTGCAGCGGGAAAATGTATAACGTTACTGCAAAAGTGACATAGCAGGTTAAAGGGCAAGCAATGGTAAGTAGTTATTGCAGTTAAATATAGAGAAAAAGCACACGTTGGAGATAAAAGTAAGTACCCATCTATGGCTGAAAAATGAGTGGCAGCATTTAAATATGTAAGTGTACATATTAAGGTTTGAGATAAAATGTATTGCACATAAAAATCATTACAGTCATTGCACAGCACAACTGCCCAAAAAAGTGTATATATTGCACATTACAGGTTGAAAATGTTCTAAATTTGAATTATTCTCAGAAAAATTTACCCATTTCTAATTTCTTCCAAAAATCAGTTTGTCCTGAAAGTTTGACTTTTTTTCTAAAAATGCAAAATAAAAAAGTTGAATTCATCAAAGAAAATCTTTTGATTGTTAATGTTGGGGATGAACGTGCATCTATCTCAGGGTACTTGACTCGTATAAGGAGAGGTTTGAACATTCATCAGTTATTTATGAAAGCTTTTTACATCCTTAACGCTGTTGAAAATGAGTAGCAGCATTTAAATATGGAAGTGTACATGTTAAGGTTCGAGACACTTAAAAAATGATGTATTGCACATAAATATAAGTATGGTTATTGCACAGTACAGGTTGAAGACGTTCTAAATTTGAATTTCAAACCGATTTCTAATTTATTCCAAAAATATGTTTGTTCTGTAAACTTTTTCTGAAAATGCAAAATAAAAAGTAGAATTCATCAACTAAAATCTTTAAATGTTTAATGTTGTGGATGAATGTGCTCTCAGGGTACTTGACTCGTATAAGGAGGCGTCTGAACATTCATCAGTTATTTATGAAAGCTTTTCCCATCCTTAACTCTGTTCCTGTGAAACACGCTGAAGATCTTCAGTCGGAGCTCTTTGCACTGCAGCCCGTAGATGACGGGGTTCACGAGGGGAGGGATGACGAAGAACAAGATGGACGCCACCTTCCCGCTGTCCGCCCACTCCGGCCGCCGGTGCATGATCATGGGCATGAAGGACATGGTCAACATGATGACGTACACGGCCAGGTGAGTGCCGCAGGTCTGAAGCGCCTTGCTGTTCGGAGTCTTGTTCCTCCCCGTCAGACACACTAAAGCGATCCTCAGGTAGGTGAGTGTGACGCTGCACATGGAGGATCCCAGGATCACCACCGCGCTGCCCAGCCCGTAGATGTGGTTGTAGAGCAGGCTCTCGCAGGACAGCTTGAACAAGGAGGCGTTGTCGCAGAACGGGTTGACGATAACCCGCCGGCAGCGAGACAGACGGATGCTCAGCCACATCAGGATGGCCACGGAGATGAATGCCGTGAGCCAGGCACCCGCCGACAGCCTCACGACCATCCGGAGCGTCATGATGGTGGCGTAGCGCAGAGGGTTGCAGATGGCCACGTAGCGATCAAACGCCATGATCATGAGCACGGAGTGGGAGGTGCCCGCGTGGAAGTGGGCGGCGAAGGCTTGGACCACACAGTCGATGTAGTTAATGGATCGCTCTGAGATGGGAGTGAAAGCATCACTCAGGATCCTCGGGATGATGGCAGAGGCCCCGAACGCATCGTTAATGCTCATGTTGCAGAACAGCAGGTACATGGGCTGGTGCAGGCTGCGCTCCGTGCTGATCAGAACCGCCAGCCCGATGTTGGACACCATGATGAAGAAGTAGATGAGGAGGAGGAGGATGAAGGCCGGGATGGAGGACTGAGGCGTGACCTTTAACCCCTCAAACAGTATAATGTCCAGGTCCCCAGTTTGGTTCTCCATCCTGCAGAGAGACGGGTTATTAATGGTGATGCAGTTTCAACCTAAAACAGAGCAAAATAAGTCATCAGGAATATTTCAGAATAAAAAATATTATTTATTTACTTTGTCAGAAATATATTGATTCTTCTGGGCAACATAACAAAACTAACCGCATATAAGCTTTAAATGACGCTGAACCCCAGTGCACATAGAAAACCCATAACCCTAACCCATGTATTAGCCAGGGGTTCCCAAACGTTGCCATGCCAAGGACCCCATATAGCATGATCCTCTGGCGGGGACCCCCCTGTTGCAATTTATTTTTAAATGATGAGTACATTATGATGGAGAATATGACAAATGAATCATACAGCTTAATACATTTTCTTAATATATATTTGTATTAATAATTAATAATTAGTTATTCTTCTAAAATGTTTTTGTATTTATCTTTTGTTTGTCATTCATTACATTCATTGTGTCTTCTGTTATGAACATTCTTAACACAATATTAAACAGTAATATCAACAGTAAAGTATTTTTAAAGTGATTTATGTCTTTATAATATTATATAATTTTTAACAGTAATATGAACAATTAACATATATTTTTAGCATTTTTGAAAGCTACTTATGCCTTAATACTATTATATATAATATTCAACAGTAATATTAACAATAGACATATTTATATTCATATATATAAACATCAATATTTGCTACATCCGTGCTCTCATCCGGCTGCAGAGCGAAACATTCACTCGCTCTCACTTGCTCCAAAAGCTGAGCAGATACTCAGTTTCACTCTCAGCAGCGGCAGCTCGATTCTGATTGGCTTGAAGGCGGTCGTGTGATTTTAAAAAATATATATATATTAATAAATAAAAAATATTAAAAGATTGGCATCAAAGGACACATAGACTGATAGATATGCAGTTATTAATAACATCTAAAAAAATAAAAATGTAACTTTAAAAAAAAAAGATTCCTCTTTCCCTCAAACTTTGCGTGACCCCCCTGGCGCCCCCTGGCGGCCCCCCGGGGGGTCGGGGCCCCCACTTTGAAACGCACTGTATTAGGTAATTACACTTATACACTTACGCTTGTCCATGTTTATATGTTTTATTTTACAATTATACAACGATAAACTACCTGAAAGTTCATATTTAATCTCAACAATTCCACTTAAATGATGAAATACAAAATACCAACAAATATTCACATTTTTCCAACTTTGAGTTCAGACGCTTAATTTCTCTTGAAATATTAGTTTCATTCAAAGAGAAATAATGAATATGAAATAAGATTAACTTTATTAATCCCAAATTGGGTTAATGGGTCATGTTTTCGTTTCATACGTTGAACATTGCAAACTTGAATAAATCATTTAAATTATATATTTGTGTCCGGCTACTATACATCGTTCTTAATGTGATGTATAGTAACTTTGATAGCTGTCCATACCTTCAGCCTACAAGAAAAACACAAGTTGTTTATTCACAGCCCGAACGCTCATCGAGATGACTGGATCATCTGTGACAAGTTGTGATCAGCTCCGATTAAATAGTGATATAGCTGTTCTGGATTAACAACGTGTCACGTTTTCTGAATTGACCAATCAGAATCGAGTATTCAACTAAACCATGCAAACCATATCTGTAGATTATTTGACAAATAAAACACTGTTGACGGGCTAAATTACAGCGAACACAATATATTATCCACATTAAGTGTGCAAGAACGGCATATTATATTAAATATCAATGTAAAACAGTGATAAGTTATAAGTCCAGTGAACACAGAGACGCTATGGACTTCCTCTATCTATTTCTGAACACGTCAGTAAAGACATCGCACTCTAACGTCTCATAATACTTTAAATGTAAAATCAGAGTCAGAAAACCAATGTATTTCACTCTAACCGGCCGTCACACTGACACCACGTTTATAACAAAATACAAATATTAAAATCAAAGAAGATCATGAAGTGTCTTGCATGTCTAACATTTCTCCACATTTCATTATTTTTTATTGTTAATTGTTGATTCCACTTTTTAAGTATTTGTATTTTATTTTAATGTTGAACACACTGGTCCTGTAAGAAAATCATTTCTCAAATTGGGATTAATAAAATATATATCTATCTATTTTAAGAAGGATTTTCATTTGATTTTCAAAAATGTTTAATCTGGAGAAAACAAGTATCTGTTAGTTTTCACCTTTGTTTGCATCCAACATAAACCTAGAACCATCTGCAATATAGCCTCTGAATATTTTGAAGCTGAAACCCTTTAGCTTTTGTACACAGGTCCTAAAATCTCTCAAAACTCACTTTTTCACTCTAGCTTTCAAACTCTCTCAACAAACCCCCCTTTTTCTCCACAATTGGATTTTTTTGTTTCGTTTGTTTTGTTTCTGTTCTGATTCTATGTCAAGCTCTAGGAAAAGCACTTTACAAATCCCATGTATTATTATTATTATTATTATCATTATACCAGCTAGAAATGGCTAAAACCGTATCTTTTGAGCTTTGAAATTACTTTAATTAAGTTTTTGCAGTAACCTCATTTAGTTTTTTCACTAGACTAGTTCATTATTACATTTTAAATATCTTGCCCACTAAACCTCAAATTCTTTAACTCTGCTGCATTATTATCACCAAGTCACAGATGGTGTTTCAACAAATCACAACAAACCAGATAACAGTTGTAAAAAGTGATTTGTCTGCAGACAGAAAAACATTTAGATTTGACATATTTTCCATCAAGTTAGAAATCACAACGCTAAACATCTGCAGTTTCAACAAAAGCATTTAAACAGTGAAGACATCAGTGTGTGTGGTTGGTGTGTGTGTGTGTGTGTGTGTGTGTGTGTGTGGTTGGTGTGTGTGTGTGTGTGTGTGTGTGTGCGTGTGTGTGGTTGGTGTGTGTGTGTGTGTGTGTGTGTGTGTGTGTCAGGCTTACCGCTGCTGTCGTGAACCTTCTCCTGACAGACCGCTGTTGGGCTGACACTCAGCTTTTATAAGCCGACGGACCAGACGGAAAGCTGCGTCTCTTTTTAGCGGCTAGATCTCCATGGTAACTGATGCTGAACGGCAAACCTCAGGACCAGGTTAGGTTGCAGGCTAAGAGATCAACTCAGTGAAAGCACCGCCTGCTGACCAATCAGAGCTCAGTGTGCGGAGTTTAAAGCGATCAAGTCATATTACAGGAGAAAGGAAATACAGAAAAGCTGCCGTTCAATTCAATTCAATTCAAAACCTTTATTCATCAGGTAAAATCCCATTGAGATCAATGATCTCTTTTTCAAGGGAGACCTGCAGCAGTAGGTTCCACAAGAAGACATAAAAACATAAACAACAGAACAACAAGAGGACATCATACAGCAAAATGTACAGGGATTACAATTTACATATTTAACCACATGTACAGGTACCAACAGCATCTGATTGTGTAGCATCCAACCTTTAAAAACATGTAGTGGTACTAGCTTGGTAATTTTCCATTCTTTTTGCAGACTGTTCCAAGTTAGTGGAGCTGCCGTTGCAGGAAAGACGCCGACGTGTCGCACCTATCATTCATATCACATCATATCAGAGTCACATTAAGTACAGTCCGTATCACTTCATAATGTATCTTTTATTTCATTATCTGAGTCAGCTGAGCCGTATCTGGCCGTGCAACACTCACAGCGTCACAGACTGGAGGCAGAAGGATTATTTTAAGCAACACATTAAGTTGAGGAAACACTGGAGTCAAATATAATGAAAGTCAGATGGTGTCGGGTGGTGACGGGCAGTGATATCATAAAGCTGTTAATGTACGCATTCAAACACTTGTTCTGTTCCCAGCTGTGTTCACCTTGCAGGTGCAGCTCTGTGGCTTTGATCCTGGATCAAGTGTTTAAGTCATGGATGTTTAAAGTTGAACTTCTTCATATGTCTAATATTATAGTTCACTTTTCATTCAGGAAGTATGACGCTGCGCTGTCAGTGCGCTTCTCCATGTTTGTGATTGGTCAAATGTTGCTAACCTCGCATCTTTCACGTGAACGCGCTCTCAGCCGGACAGAGAAACCCTGGGTTGAGTTACCGAGTTGATAACCAGCGCCGTAGGACCGCTTAGCGTGATCGCGTTTGTTTTGGGTTAGTTAAGACAGATAACTCAAACATATCCAGGGTCTGTTGAACTGGCTTCGTCGTACAGGGCACAGGTGTCACCCTGGAGACGGTTGCCTTCAACTCGGCATGTTGTCAGTGTTTCTGTCAGCGTGGATCTGATGAGGAGGGGGGGGCAACACGATGCATTTAACTGATTATTTTATCTCTGTTGTAGAGCCGATGAATGGGAGTCGGAGGCGGGGTGTTCAGTATAGAACTCCATACTTTATTATCTTGAACATCAGACAGGTAATACATTAGCTGTTACTGCATGTAAAGCTAGCATGAATGAACCATCAACCCGGTGCCCTCGCTAACGGGTCCGGGTTGCAACACACACCAAACACACAGTGAATGATGTCCTCACACGTGACACCACACAAGCCCCCCCAGAATTCACATATAAACAAAGTCTGTGCGGCGGAGAGGAACGACACGCCGACCCCCACGACTCCTGAGCACGGGAGTCGGAAAAGCGACTTCCGCCTGTGCGTCCCCCGGAAGAGGAGGGACCGGAACAACAGGTCCTAAATCCGTGACCGGGGTCACAGCCGGGGGGCGTCCCTGTCGCAGAGGTCGAGCCAGCACCACCGGCTGGCCCAAGTCCAGGTGAGCAGCCTTCACCCGGTCTACTGAGACGTGCTCGGCTTTGCCACCCAGGTCGACCACCAGGTGCTTGTCCCTGTGCTCCAAAAACTGAAAGGGGCCGTAAGGGGGTTGTAGGGGGCCTCTGTGCACGTCGTGCCGGATGAACACGTGCCCTGCCGGTCCCTACTGAGTAGTAGGGACCGGAGCAAAAGACCCAGTGACGTCTTGTAGGAAAGCCCGCTGGGCTGTCGCCGACCAGGGAGCCGATGTATTAGGGAGGAAATCCCAAGGAACCCTCAGCGGCCGACCGTACACCATCTCAGCTATAGAACACTGCAGATCCTCTTTAGGCGCAGTCCTCAGGCCCAACATCACCCAAGGCAGCTTGTCGACCCAATTACCGTCCGTAAGGCCGGCCTTGAGGGCCGTCTTCATGGAGCGATGGAACCGCTCACAAAGGCCGTTAGCCTGAGGGTGATAAGCGGTAGTCCTGTGCAGCTTAACCCCCAGACCACTTGCCACGGCGTTCCAGAGCTCGGACGTGAACTGTGAGCCCCTGTCCGAGGAAATGTCTGACGGGGTGCCAAAACGACACACCCACGTCGCAATGAAAGCCCGGGCAATGTCTGCGGCTGATGTTGACACGAGAGGAACCGCCTCCGGCCAACGGGTCATCCTGTCCACCATGGTGAGGAGGTAGGAAAAGCCCTGAGAGGAGGGCAATGGACCAACCAGGTCGATATTGACGTGGTCAAACCTCCTCTCAGGCACCAGGAAACGCTCCAAAGGGGCCTTCGTGTAGCGGTGCACCTTAGCGCGCTGACAAGACATGCACTCACCAGCCCAAGTCCTCACATCCTTCTTCAGCCCATGCCAGACGAACTTCGCGGCCATCAAGCGCACCGAAGGCTTAACACTGGGGTGTGACAGTCCGTGCACTGCCTCAAACACAGAGCGCCTCCAGCTGGCGGGAACGACTGGCCGCGACAGGCCCGTGGAAACGTCGCACAGGAGGGTAACGCCCGCGTCGACGAACACCATGTCCTCCAAGCGCAGCCCCACGCCCTCCACCTTCAGAGCCTGGACGCCGGGGTCTGTGACCTGGTCCGCCGCCATGCGAGTATAGTCCAGGCCCAACTAGACTGCTCCGATAACGACCCTAGAGAGGCAATCTGCAACCAGGTTCGACTTGCCAGCCACGTGTTTAATGTCTGTGGTTAACTCCAAGATGTAGGAAAGCTGCCGCTGCTGATGTGCCGACCAAGGCTCCGCCACTTTAGACATGGCGAAAGTGAGCGGCTTGTGGTCGACAAACGCCGTAAATTCACGGCCCTCCAGCAAAAAACGGAAATGCCGCAAGGCCAAATAAAGTCCAAGGAGCTCTCGGTCAAAGGCGCTGTACCTGCGTTCTCTGGGCGTCAGCTGGCGGCTGAAAAAAGGCGAGTTGCTGCCAAGCGCCCTCCACCCACTGCTCGTGCACCGCACCAACAGCGTAGTCCGATGCGTCTGTGGTAATGGAGATGGGAGCCGTGGATGATGGGTGCGCCAACAGGGCCGCCTGAGCCAACGCAGTCTTGACCTCCGTGAAAGCAGACGCAGCTTCCGCCGTCCGATCGCCTGGACGGGGGTCGTACCTTTCAAAGCCTCATACAGCGGCCGCATAATGTGAGCGGCCCGGGCGATGAAACGGTGGTAGAAAGTCACCATCCCCAGAAACTCCCGGAGCGACCGGGCTGTGAGTGGACGAGGAAAAGCCACAACACTCTCCACCTTCGCCGGCAGGGGTGCTACACCGCCTTTGGTGACGCGGTGTCCGAGGAAGTCAATGTCAAACACCCCAAACTGGCACTTTGCAGGATTGATTATCAACCCGTGTTGGCTGAGCCTCGCGAAAAGGGCTCGGAGGTGTGACAGGTGCTCTTCCACCGAAGCGCTGGCGACAAGTATGTCGTCCAGGTAGACGAACACGAACGGCAGGTCCCGCAGCACCGAATCCATCAGGCGCTGGAACGTTTGGGCGGCGTTCTTGAGCCCAAAAGGCATCCGCAGGAACTCGAAAAGTCCAAACGGCGTTATCACTGCTGTCTTAGGGACGTCCAGGGGATGCATGGGCACCTGGTGGTAACCACGCACCAGGTCCACTTTCGAAAACACCGACGTACCGGCCAGATGTGCCGAGAAGTCTTGGATGTGCGGCACCGGGTAACGGTCAGGTGTCGTGGTGTCGTTGAGGCGGCGGTAATCCCCACAAGGGCGCCAACCACCGTTCGGCTTGGGAACGACGTGTAGAGGAGAGGCCCAAGGACTGTCAGAACGGCGGACGATGCCCAGGCGTTCTATGGTTGAAAACTCCGCCCTCGCTTCAGCAAGATTAGAAGGGTTCAACCGCCGGGCTCTGGCGTAGACTGGGGGACCTTCGGTGGAGACGTGGTGCTCCACCCCATGCTTGGTGGTGAGCGTGGAGAAGGTGGGCAGCGTCAGGTCTGGAAACTCAGCCAACAGCCTGAGAAAAATGTCTGCTCCCGACAGCGAGCCCAACAGCCCGTCGTACGCTGCCTTGCCAAGTGTACACACGAGGGAGGAAAACGTCAAAGCATCAACCAAACGTTTATTTTTAACGTCCATAAGGAGTCCGTGAGCACATAAAAAATCCGCCCCGAGGAGGGGAAAATAAATGTCTGCCGTCACAAAATCCCAGTTGAACTGCTGTCCTCCAATACACAAACACATAGGCCTCACGCCGTATGTGCGAATGGGGCCGCCTTTAGCCGTCGTCAACCGGGGTCCATGTCCCCCACGAGCGACATCTTCCCTCGAAGCAGGAACTACACTCCGTTGAGCTCCCGTGTCACACAAAAACAAGCTTCCCGAGACTCTGTCGCTGACGAAGAGAAGCCTGCTCGTGCCGCCAACGCTCAGGGCCACTACCGAGCGCTGGCTCCTCCGTTTCCCGGAGGCTTGTAGCTGCATGGAGCGACACACTTCTTCGCGCTGGTCCCGAACCGCGCGTGGTAAAAACACTCTCCTGTGTCTCCACGCCGGCTTGCTGCTGTCGCGTCCAGTCTCCCCCAAGCTTTCTTAACTGTTGTGGGGGCGCTGAGAGTCACAACTAATGCCTCTGCACCGGACTGCTGGGTAGCCAGGAAAAAACGGTCGGCCTCTTCAGCCAAGGCACGGGGCTCCGTAATGGACGTGTTGGCAAGCACCGTCTGGACCCGGGAAGGCAAGTGGCGCAGGAACGTCTCCATGAACAAAATCCGGGGGTCTCCCCCCCCTAGCAGATTTAGCATTTTCTCCATTAGCTGAGATGGCTTGCTGTCTCCTAGGCCTTGAATGTCAAGTATCTGGCGGGCCCTCTCCTTAGCAGATAAGCTAAATGTCTTAAGGAGAAGGGCCTTAATCGCCTCATATTTGCCATGGTGTGGGGGTCTGCGATAAATCCGACCAACCTGGACGACGTGGAGCTTCCTAGCGCTGCTACAACATGGTAGTATTTCAGGTCCCCGTCACGGACCTGTCGGCAAGCGAAGTGCGCCTCCTCGTGTGCAAACCACGCCGCAGCGGCATGCTCCCAAAATCTCCGGCAGCTTTACGAAAACATCGCAATTAGCTATGTTCATTGGGTCTTCGGAAACTTTCTCGAAAACGTTGGGGTCACCAGTGTAGAGCCGATGAATGGGAGTCGGAGGCGGGGTGTTCAGTATAGAACTCCATACTTTATTATCTTGAACATCAGACAGGTAATACATTAGCTGTTACTGCATGTGAAGCTAACATGAATGAACAACCAACCCGGTGCCCTCGCTAACGGGTCCGGGTTGCAACACACACCAAACACACAGTGAATTATGTCCTCACACATGACACCACACTGTACAATAAACGACATGCTAACCAACATGTAGCTCAGATCAGAGACTTCACGGTTTTATTATGTAGAAGTCAATACCAAAATAAGTGGGATCCTCGATTGCAATTTTGTACAAAAATAAAACAATAATCCCATTTATTTCAACATGAACTCCTTCATTGCCCTTTCCATACGTTTTAAAACATCATGGTTACATTACATGGCAACTGAGGAGCCTGTGAATATTTGTTATGGTTAAATACTAGATTTAACAATTAAAGTCCTCCAACTCATACGACCAAATAGGTCGATTGTTCAAGCCCTTATTACGACCAAATAGGTCGATTGTTCAAGCCCTTATTACGACCAAATAGGTCGATTGTTCAAGCCCTTATTACGACCAAATAGGTCGATTGTTCAAGCGCTTAGTATGACCAATACGTTTTAAAGTTTTCGACCTCTAGTCCTCCCGTAGACTGCAAACGTTACAGAGGGTCGTTTATTCACAAATAACCCTCTCTGTAAAATTAAAGGATAGTTTGGCCATTAAAACGCTTTTTGATTAGATTTCTAGCGAGAAGTGTATATTGTACTTTTAGAATCCACGTCCAGTGGATGTGTAGGATCTATAGTTTGATAGAAATTACGAAGAGGATTTGAGGTTTCACCAGGAGAACGTGTATATGCGGCAGCTTCCATGTAAAGTTAGCGTCAACCCTCATGGGGTGAAAACAATATTTCCGGTCTCGAAGTTTTCACAATAAAACCAATGATCAAATGATTTAACCGTGATATCTGCAGAACTCATCCACTAAAAAACATCAGTTTATCCTTGTTGATTACACGACATTAATTGGTTTAAATTGTGTACAATGCTTTTGTGTTTTTCCCATAGGTTTTTCCCTTTCGATTCTGAGAGACACATTTCTTTTTTCAGAGGTTTTGATAGGCTAAAACATCGAACTACCCATAATCCTGGATGTTTTAGCAGCAATGTACGTTGGGTGTTTATGCGATATGAAATCGGAAAACATAAATAAAAAAATAAAAAAACTTTATTCCGAGTGTTCTTGCTTTTCTCTTTGAAAGTCATCACATAACGGCATTGTAATACACGGTTCGGCTGCATTGAATATTACATATCTGCCGTAGTTCTTTATTTATAGAGCCCTGATGAGAAGACTTCTAGACAAACAGGAGAACTGCCGTCAAAATTGAATATGTGACGTGGATCATAAATATATAAGCAATTAAACAACATCTTACATTTCTCTTCACACAATACGTCTCCTTGCAGTATCAACACTAATTCGGATTACTTTTATATTTGATCCAATTAGTAGATAGTCTGTATTTACACCATAACGGTGCATAGCTGATAGAAAGGGACTTGTAGTTTTTAAAGATATTACTGATTTTCTTTGAATTGAAGAATGTAAAGACTGAGTTGAGAGAATAGTGGGTGATGGGAGACACATCTCTGGAATCACAATTTCAATAGCTGATATTATTATGTTTTATAACTAGACCACTGTTTTTTTAACCTGTAGTGGTTAAAGCACGTTATTGAATTGTGTTGTTGAATGTTATATTTGATGAACAATTCAATTCAATTCAATTCAAAACCTTTATTTATACAGATAAAACCCATTGAGATCATAGACCTCTTTTACAATGGTGACCTGCTTTAATTAGTTCCAAACATTAATACAAACATGACAGAAAACAAAGGACATTATATGATACTACAGTTTGTATACTAGTAGCATTTACAGACACCAATATTTTCTGATTGTATAGCGTCTATCCTAGCTTTAAAAACATGAAATGGAATCAAACTGCTTAGCTTCCATTCCTTTTGTAGACTGTTCCATGCTAGCGGCGCTGCGCATCTAAAAGCTGTATTTCCTAATACAGTCCTAGCAGTTGGCACATGTAATACAACCACAGCTTTAGATCTCAGGCAGTAGCCATTTACAATACGCTGTGAATGAAAATGAACACATTTAAATATTAAGAGTAGCCTACATACAACATTGGGGGAAAGTAGAAAGCATGATATAAATATAGAATAGAAAAGATCAAGAAGATACTGTAGTGATCTCTACAATAAAACAGTTTAGTGCAGGACGTCCAAAGATATTAACAGGAGGATGCAAAACAGACAAACTAATAGGGCTTTATTTAAACATTAAAGAATACTTTAAGTTAAGGTCTTCATTTGAATAAGAAAAAAACATTGGGGTTATCCACAGATAAATATGAAGTCTGACAAAGTGCTTAATGTCCAATATATTGCATAGTTTATTTTGGCCCTTGACAATCACCTTCCCTGAATTTGACGCAGGTGTAACTAAAGTCTGATTTAAGGGTTGTTTATATTTCACATCATTAATCAGAATCTGCAAAGTGACTAAAATAAATGCAGTGGAGTAAAAATACCAGCTTAAGCTCTGAATTGTAGTGGAGTATAACAAAGTAGTACATGCTGCTGTAACAAAAACATTTCCCAGCTTGGGATCAATAAAGTATATATCTTATCTTATCTTAAGATGATCGATGGCTACTGCCATATTTGCAAAATGTGCCTCTGAACCTTGACAAGTGCATGTTTCAGGCGTATCAATGAACAACAGGAGGGGTCACAGACATAAGACCAGCTGTTAAATAAAGCTCCTCTGACCTTAGCTGTCATGTGGGTATATTAATGCTGCCCATTATGGACACAAGCAATTTTCACCCATTTATTAATTAAATGTTTTAAATGTGATAACACCACTGTGTTTCCTATCCCCTAAACCTCCAGGGATGTATACAGTTTAATACTGGCAACTTCATTGCGGGAAATACGAAAATGTCTTTTAAAACTACAATTCCCAGTAGAGACGTGCCATAGAACATGTTGCGAAACACACAATAGCCAGCATGTCTGCCGTTGTTCCATTTCATTTCAAAGAGCTGTTTGACGCTCAGCGTAACCTTGTCGCACTGCCACTCCAACATCCAATCACAGGGCTTGAGGGCTAATCAAGGGGTTTGTAAAGCAAGGCGGATGCTGTAGTCCCAAACGATAGCTGAGGATTCTGGGTAGTGTAGTGTCTTCGGAAACTCTTAGTGTCTAAACTCCGAAAAAACTATTTGTTTCTCCAAATCGAAGGTTAAAAACACAAAAGCATTGTACACAATTTAAACCAATCAATATTGTGTAATTCACAAGGATAAACTGATGTTTTTTAGTGGATGAGTAATGCAGATATCACTGTGTAATCATTTGACAGTGAGGGGAATACTTCCGGTTTTATTATGTAAACTTCGAGACCGGAAATACTGTTTTCACCCCGTGAGGGTTGACGCTAACTTTACATGGAAGCTGCCGCATATACACGTTCTCCTGGTGAAACCTCAAATCCTCTTCGTATATCTATCAAACTATAAATCCTACACATCCACTGGATGTAGATTATAAAAGTACAATATACACTTCTCGCTAGAAATCTAATCAAAAGCGTTGTAATGGCCAAACTATTGCACAATTTAGGATTTTCCAGAGAGGATTATTTGTGAATAAAAGAATCTCCGGAGCGTTTACAATCAACATGTTGTTTCTTACACGACCACTAGAGGTGCTACACTTTGAAACGTGACTCTGGGTCGTAATATGCGGCTGAACAATCGACCTATATGGTCGTTTTTTGTAAGAGGACAGGCTGGTATATTCTTAACAAATAAAGACAGACAACATGTATAACGTATAAATATTGACTCTTTTATTATACACATTACCCTTTCTTTCTCTGAACAATGTATAGTGAAGACACATATTGTAATACTTTATCTTATGATATATCTACCATCTTATGGAAACAATACAGCAAAGAAGCTATTAAATAACATCTTTCAGGACTTTTGAAGATCAATTTGTGCCTTTGGTTGCATCTGATCCTTAAATAAAATACAGGGTTTTGTCTGCACGGGGTAACAGAAAGACATCTGAGTATCGAATAGGTTCTCGAGATAATTTATACATATTATAAACGAGATCAGCGCCACAGTACTCGTACTATATCTTTCTGGAAAAACCCCTGAATATAATTTAAAACGTTTAAAGCAACAGTCAGGAATGTTTCTAACATAAGAAACGGCCATCTTTATGTTCTGCACACTGTGACTAACAAAGTGGGAGAAGAGACGCAAATGTACGCAGAATTGTGTCTAAATAAACGTGAGAATGTCCAAAACATTAGATAACAGGACATTTTCAATTGTGTTTCCTCACCATTTAACTACATGTATTCCCATTTGTTAATTTCTGATCGTCACAATTCTTTACCTTCACTTTCCCAGGGGTTGCCCTTTTGAATATGATGATAATCTTTTCTCTTACTGCTTTGATTTGCAGTCCATAGATAATAGCGTTCATAGCCGGCGGGACCACGTGGATGATGATGGACGCCAGCTTCCTGTGATCCGATAGGTGAGGGAAGCGGTGCAGGATGATGATGATGCAGCCTGAAAACAGCAGGATGGCGTACGCGGCCAGGTGAGTGGCGCAGGTCTGCAGCGCCTTGCTGTTCAGAGCCTGGCTCTTACTGCGCAGACACACCATGGCGATCCTCAGGTAGGTGAGCATGACGCTGCACAGGGACATGGCCATTATGAGCATGCCGGCGCCGAGGCCGTAGACGTGGTTGATGAGAACGTTTTCGCAGGACAGCTTGAACAAGGAGGCGTTGTCGCAGAATGGGTTGAGGATAACCCTCCTGCAAGGCAAGGCAAGGCAAGTTTATTTATAAAGCATTTTTCAACCCAAGGCAATTCGGTACCACTTTACAAGACCACCCTTATAAAGGATTCATAAAGGGTTATGAATTAGGTTATTAATTAGGTTGTAAACAGTTTATTAATCATTAAGAAGCATTTATAAACCAGTTCTAACATAGTTTTCATACGTCAACACAGGCTCACTATTTGGCAAGATGACTAAGCCTTATATTGGCTACTTAACGAGAATCAACTCAGTGAGCAACAGATACCAAGGATGCTGGCTGATGAAGGAGACGAAATAAGCTAAGTAGCCAATATAAGGCTTAGCAGTACAGATAAATGTGGGCTCACTATTTGGCAAGCAACCGGTCAACTGGTTATCTCATGTCTTATAAAAGCTTATTAATGATTTGAAAAGTGTTCATAAATTAATTACACACTATTCGTGAACCATTCATAAGGGTAGTCTTATTGTAAAGTGGTACGGGCAATTCAACGTGCTGTACAAAAATGAAAGACATAAAACACCTTAGAAACATCAAAAAGCAAAGATAATAAAACATGAATAAAAGTTACAGTGCAGTTTAAGATGTGAATAGTTCAATTAAAAGTAGCAGCAAAAAGAAAAGTCTTCAGCCTGGATTTAAAAGTAGTCAGAATTGCAGCGGACCTGCAGGTTTCTGGGAGTTTGTTCCAGATGTTTGACAATATCACAAACCAAATTCTCACATTCCTCTATCTAGTCTTCCCGTGAAATTATAGTTATTTTGACAGTTTTCTAAGCTTTTTATAATCCTTTCATCCATTTTGAATCCCCAGACAACACATTTCCCCTGTTTACTGTTATACGAACCCATCTTTGATAATTTAACCACCTGCAGCGAGACAGACGCACACTGAGGCCGATGAGGATCCCCACCAGCAGGAAGGAGAGCGACCACGCCCACACCGACAGACCCAGCAGCATCCTGTGGGTCATGTTGGCTGCGTAACGCAGTGGGTTGCAGATGGCCATGTAGCGATCGAACGCCATGATGATCAGCACCGTGTGAGAGATGCATAAATGGAGGTGAGCACAGAAGGCCTGGAGGACGCACTCATCATAGGACATGAAGTGCTGAGACATGGGGATAAAGACGTCACTCAGGATCCTCGGGATGATGGCGGAGGCCCCGAACACATCGTTAATGCTCATGTTGCAGAACAGAAGGTACATGGGCTGGTGCAGGCTGCGCTCCGTGCTGATCAGAACCACCAGCCCGATGTTGGACACCATGATGAAGAAGTAGATGAGGAGGAGGAGGATGAAGGCTGGGACAGAGGAATGAGGCGTGACCTTCAACCCCTCCACAATTAGAACATCCAAATCTAAAGTTTGGTTCTCCATTCTGCGGGGGGAGGATCCTGCAGAGAGAACAGTGACTGTGATGTGCAGTGCAAAGTTAAATACACTTTACAAACAAAGGACACTACAGGAGTATAAAGGATCTTCCGTACCACTTTATAATAATACTATCCTTATAAAAGGTTTACGAATAGTTTGTAATTCATTATTAGTATTAATTAGGTTGTGAACACTTTATAAATTATTAATAAGCTTTTATAAGACATGAGATAAACAGGGCAACTCTGACCGGTAGCTTGCTAAATAGTGAGCCCACATTTATCTGTACTGCTAAGCCTTATTAGAAATGGTAGTAACTCATTAATAAATGGGAATGTGTTTTACACTTTACAATAAGGCTCCCTTTTGGCAAATATAAATGTTAGTAACTCGTAAATAAATGGTCATTAGAGATGCCAAGAAACATCAAGATGGAAGGGGGGATAATCAACTCAGTGAGCAACAGATACCAAGGATGCTGGCTGATGAAGAAGACGAAGTAAGCTAGGTAGTCAATATAAGACTTAGTAGTACAGATACATGTGGGCTCACTATTTAACTTACTTCGTCTTCTTCATCAGCCAGTATCCTTGGTATCTGTTGCTCACTGAGTTGAGTCATCTTGCCAAATAGTGTGCCTGTGCTGATGTATGAAAACTATGTTAGAACTGGTTTATAAATGGTTCTTAATGATTAATAAAGTGTTTACAACCTAATTATAAACCCTTTATGGATCCTTTATAATGGTAGTCTTATTGTCAAGTGGTACTGGATCTTCTAAATATGCTGCATGTTTTGTAACTGATGGCCGAACTCACAGTTAAAGTCCTTTGCGAACACTAAACCTGCAACAATTAGAAAAAAAGTAAATATTTAATTTCCAGAATGAAGCTCAAACTGTGATCATACAAAAGAGCATTTTGCTGCTTATGTGGCATTTGCAAGTATTGAAGTGAAGAGACATTTGGTGCAAAATGTTCCCTTTAATATGCATATGAGCCTCTTTGCAAAGTCATACCAATTCGCAAAGAACAGCACTAACAGTCATGGTGAAATATTTAGCATCTTCAGTGAGTTGTGGTCACTCAAAGCATTTTATCTGAAGGGTCTCACCCAGACTTTCCACTAGTAATGACTGCGTTAAAATGTCTTTCTTAAATTGTGTGCGTGAAAGATTATTTTACAATTGAATTTCCAAGATTAAAGATATTTACAAGGGATTTCAGATATGTACCGACATGATCATCAAGATGATATATATATATATATATACACATCATTAATCAGAGTAGAAGTACACAGTAGAAGATTGAAATACTCAAGTATAAGTACTTCAGAATTGTACTATACAGTATATGAGTAAATGTACTTCGTTACTTTACACCTTTGAAAGCAGACATATCAATAATTACATTTTTATATTAACTAATAACATGTTTCCAAGCGACCATTGAGTTGTTGATCCAATTTTCTAGAATGGACGCTAGTTAGAACGGCATTATTAATATGTCAGCTTAGAGTTATAACAAATCAACATAAAAAGTAATACATATTTGTCATTTAAATTGAATAAAGTCAAAGGTAGAAGAGACACATTGTTATTAAGTTCCAGGTATGTACACTCAAGATTTCCATTGGTAAGAAACTGAAATAAAGAACTTATTAAGAACTCATGAGAAGTGAGTTCGAGATACCTGAACAAGTTTTACTATTGACTTCTATACAAACTCAATTACAGATATCTATGTTTCATTTTTGACATTTAATAGCTCCACATTTTGACTATAAACAACAGACAAAAACAGATAATAAAACATCCTGAAAATGTTAGGGTTAGGGTTAGAAACGAAGAGACATCGCAAAGCATCAAGTAATTCAATACACGCCCTACTAAATAAAATAAGTCATAAAGTAAATCTGATATTTTTGCAATAGTTACATTTTCGCGTGTACTAACTTCAGTTTTGTGAAGTTATTTTAAAGTGCAAGCCTTGCAGTGAAGCTATTAGAGATAAGAGATTTGATAGAGTAAGTAAACAGGGGAAAGTTTGATAATGTGTGTGAGAGTGTGTGAGGCTCACCTCTGACGGGGACCTCTCCATCCTGACGGAGGTGAACTGTTAATACTTTTTATAATCTGATGGAGACTGGGACTCCAACCAGGAGGGTGTACTGGCCTCCCAGTTCCCTACAGGCAACCCTCAGGGCCTTTCACTGAGTCATTATCTTGTTTTGGTTTCAACTTTTTCAAACTCCTCAAAACTTTCATGCAACCTTTATTTTTCACTTGGAAATACATTGAGGCAAAGCTCAAAAACAACAACACGATTTCCTAGCCACCAACAAACACCAATAATAAACCAAACAAGTGGCCAATGGATAAACCATAACAAGCCTGGAATTCAAATAGAACATTTTCCCAATCTGATAAACAGCATGTGTGAAAGACACCATTGTCCAAGACTGATAAGAAGTTCCCCACAAGTGGCCTACTACAATTAATAGACAACGTTGTACATTAAAATAAAGTTTATCCCATTATATTCTTGTTATTTCAGTCATATTACCTTCTTCTTTACCCCAAATAAATGTAAATAAATACATCTCAATATCTTAGCAAAATACAGGAGAATTCACATATTTGAAGTTGAGTTCAAAATTAAAGTCGAGTTGAAATGTTGGTGTGGTGCAATTAATGAGGGCCAGGGTGCCGTTGCCCACCCCCTACTTTGTGCCCCTGGTGTAGTATGGTTTGAAGTTTGAAGATGAGTGTGTTCCAAGAGAGGGTGACAGAATTAGGGAGTCAGGAACTTGAGAAACCGTTTTTTTTACGGCCCTGTCAAAAATGTGAGTGCTCAGTATAAAAGTTTAAAAAATAAATGGTTTGAGAAATGTTCCATACTATGTTTAATAGCTATGATATAGAGAAGAGGTCTTCAATGTGTCAGAGACCCATTTCCTGGAAGAGAGACGGGCCAGGGTTAGGGAATGCTCCGGTATTGGGACAAAATTAACATGGGATCACTCCGGTGATTGTACGTACTTCGTCTCACTGGAATATTAACGGTCAGATTGAATACAACATTGACCCAATTTCTCCGGGCAATGACGGGAGAGTTTTGAAAGTGACAAAACACTGTTTTCACACATTTAAAACCACTTAAACAATTAAACAATGTTTACCCAGGATTCAGGCACCTTCCCTGGCTTGTAAAATGTGGTGATGCGCCCTGGAGGTATCAGACTATTTAAAATATGTATACCCAGAATTCAATCACTTTTCCTGGCTTGCAAAGTGCTGTGAAGCAGCCTGTTCTCTGAGGAGTGCTCAAGTGTGGGAGGATGTGTAAGGCAGAGTAGGGTAACAACAAAAGTTAAAGTGTGAACCTCCAGCAGGGCAGGTGCTGCTGTGAATAAGGCCGAATATGGATGCTGGTGTGCGGACAGTAAAGCACCACAAAATCCACCTCCTTTAAGTGTTACCAGGGCCATGAGAACATCCTCCACAGGAGGGTGGGTGGTGCTGCTGTGAATAAGGCCGAATATTGATGCTGGTGAGCGGACAGTAAAGCACCACAAAATCCACCTCCTTTAAGTGTTACCAGGGCCATGAGAACATCCTCCACAGGAGGGTGGGTGGTGCTGCTGTGAATAAGGCCGAATATGGATGCTGGTGTGCGGACAGTAAAGCACCGCAAAATCCACCACCTTTAAGTGTCACCAGGGGCATGAGGTTCTGGAGGGTGTGAACATCTGTGTTTAGTCCGTGGGGGAGTGCTTAAGTCCGGGGGTCCAGGGTCTCATGGTGTGCGAGGTTATGGAAGTATGCATGATTTTCGAAATTCTCGAAAAAACGGCTAAGTGCCAACGGAGGAGGGGCTAAAGGCGGAAGCCCCGGAGACATTTGCACCCCCCCGTTGCATTTTACAACGGAGAGGGGAATCGAGACCTCCATTCCTCCGTCGAAAAAATTCATTCATCTTTTCCAAGCTACCATCTGCACGAAATCGGAAACCCGGTTTTTGAGAGCACTTAGAAAAAAACGGGCTATTTTCCATCATGTAGAAATCATGGAGGAATGCATCCGCTACATGAGCACTTTGGATCGGATACAATTGTTGCCTGGAGGACCCCCAATCATGGTTCTTACCAAACTTTAAGTTTTTGAACTGGTCTCTGGAGGAATTCAAGGGGAGTTGTCACGGAATTAGGAGAAACTATTTTCGGATACAATTTCTCCATTTTCACCCCTTTTCTCTGGTTCTCCCAAAATATAACAGAGTATTTCCTGACTCTGGATGAATGTAAGGGCAGTTGTCAGGGGACTGTACCTGCATTAAGAGACACTATGCCGGGCGCTCCGGATGGAGCGCCCGGAGGTACTGTTGTCCCCACGTTACCATGTTGTCTGGAGGATAGGACCGAGAGATGACATACTCTCTACCCGGGTTACAAGTCACTATTTTTGGACCCTTTCTTTGCTTTACCACTGTTCTATCACTCTTTCCTCCTTTGACCATAAAACGTGTTTCCTGCTGGGGTACTGCCTGGTTCCGGGGCACCCCAAACCCTCTCATGGTCGGGGCACCATGAATTGATGCATCGGACCCAATGTTGCCATCACCAGCCCCGCGTTGGTGCGGAGGTGGGACCATTTAGCCAAGTGGTAACCCAAGTCCTCCTTTGGTCCGTGTAGCAGGCATTTAATCATCAAACCCATTGTTGCAATCACCAGTATTGCTAACGCATATAAACGGAGAAACACAAAAGACTTTGAAATAATTGAAATACAATTATCTGTTTTAGTAAGGATGTCGTCCGAATGCCCGGTGTGCAGACTCTTCTATCTGGCTTTGAACAAGCATATTAAGCACAAACATGCATTGCGTAACTTGGAGGAAAGAGGCATCATTCTTAAAATGGCTAGTGGCAGAATAAATGTTCGGACCAAACCCTGTCCCATCACAGGGTGTTCGTTTGCTGGGAATAAACTGGACCGTCAT